GATTCGTATCGTTGTTTTCGTCATTTGCGGAGCCACGATCGACGCGTAGGTCCTTGGTGTCGTCGCGCTCGAAGTCACTGCTGGAATAACTTTTCGAGTAGGATCCGCGTGGCTCTTCTTGACAACTTCCTCTAACGCCATCATCCTCTCTTCGATTAGAGACACCTTCTGGGAAATTTCAGTCCAGGCTCTTTTGTGATCACTAACATCCTCCACAGATGGTAGGTCCTTCTCATCCATGTCTTTCATCACGATTATTCTTAACAGTTTAAGTAGTTTCCCCACGGTTTCTAAATTCTTATTCTTTGGAGTTGCCTGCGCTCAGCTGCTGTTGTTTTTGGTCGCCATTGTCGCTTTTTGCGACGCGTCGAAACTGCTGGATTTACCCTCGCCAACATCTACACCTGCCATGTTGAAGTACGGAAAGCGAAATGACGGGAGAAGGGTAAAGAAGGTATAAAAATTTGATTCAAGATATCAACTTGATAAAAGCAGAGTGGAACGCTGCGCAGCTTTTTGGTAAAAATGATGTTCCTCTTGCCGTATATACGTTTCTATTAGTTTGGTAGATAAGAATCAAGATACATTTTAACCACCAATTTTTATTACTGCTATAGAAAGCTTGTGATATAAATACCACTCGAGTATTTCGACAGTACTGAAAGCGCGACATAGTGCTCTTGTTATATCAAGCAATATATTTGCATGAATATAACTAACGATCTTCAGTTTGAATCTGATATCGAATAGAACGCCCGCATCTTAACGCTTGAAGTATATTTATCAAGTCTAAATCTTGCGTGGATTGGCTGAAATTGCCGATTTGTTTTTTTGTTTTGAGTTTGAGTCATTTTGAATTCTGTTTGTTTCACAAGGGGCCTATCAACTGCTCTCCACAGCTTTAATATTATTTGCATATTTCATGCATTTTCAAATGCGTACAATCGATCTATGATAAATTTCTAGATGACCGTAACTCTAAAAAGTCAAGGTTTATTTCACTGACTGATATATTTAGAAATTTCCTTTAGATCTGTATCTCTGCATCAGAAAAGCTTTTCCTGTTAATGAATCATAAATGGACTTTATGAATTGTTCTATCTGCTTTGCGTATTTTACGTTTACTTGGAAGTTGTGTTCGTGATGTTCAGAGTGTCGTTGAGACTAAAACAGGGATCTAACATAATCCCATCAGCGAAGTGTTTTGAGTAGAATAAAAAGAGACAGAGGTACAGAGAGACAGCCATTTTCTTCCAGATACTCATCAACTGAATATATTATCGACTCTGTAACGCAACCCAAACTGAATTAATTCATGATTTATGAACACTATTGAAATCTGGAATGTTTACAACGTCCCAAATATCGCTGTATCAGACAGAGCTAGATTTTGGAATTTTTCATTGAATCCTCGATCTTCGAATCATCTGATGTACCGCAGTAGTTGTAAAACACCGACAATCCTGACGTTGAATTACTCCACGATAGATCCAGTATTTTTATGTCCCTATGGGTTAATTCCCACATAAAAATGTTTCGATCCGTATATCAAGTTAGTGGCCACTCTGTGATCTTATCATTAAGGCTGTAATCGAGTGGATTTGCAAATATCAATGCTCTAATACAAGGTCTATAGCAGCTGCTTGAATCAGCGACTCAAAATCTCTGCTAATGCCTGGATGACTGCGTGTGTTGAAGAATATCGGGCTAAATATCTTGAGATAGTAGTATTCCAATGCATAGACTGATGCCGGGGAAACAGTTTCAGTCAGATAAATATTGTAGTTCTAGGCTATTCGCCTATTCTTCCGCGTACAAAAAATTATTTAAGCCAGGGCAACTTTCGACAGTGGAGTACTTACTTTCTACGCCGTCCATCACCTTTACTGTGGAAAATTATGTTCCTGTATTCTACTTGACTTGCATCCCTATACTTCTGTTATCTAAACTTCTTTCTTAAATTACTTGTTGCAACCAAAAAGTACTGCGCTGTTTCTTTGGTGACGCTTAAATCGATAATTATAATAATCTTTGACTAACAGTTCTATGGTAATGATAGTCTCATAAGCTTGGAACTTTCCATCTAAATCTACTCGGGCAAAATTCTAATTATATTAATCCCATCCTTGATTCTTATGTAATTCTGCGAGTATTCGAGGCAAAATTATCACAAATTGACGTCTTAGTATAGTCACTTCATTAATCCTAGAAACCATCTGTAGCCTTGTCAAATTCTACTATATGACTACCTTGAACTGAGACTTTCGTGTTTTTGTTTTGTTTTCTTCATTAACGTGCTAGGTTACATGGCTACCGTTGCACTCCTATTGGAGCTTAAGCACGTGTGGGGTTGGGCCGGATCAGGTTAACTACCGTGAAGTACAGATAAACCTCGTCCCACTTTAATGACCGGACCACCTCAGACTTCACCTATGTGTTGAATCATACCAAGCCTAGCCGTCCAGAAACCCGCTGTATACACGCCGTAGCGCAATTTCCTCCTCAGCCTCGGCCACCACGCGCCCGAGCCCTTGACATCCTAATTGACTCCGAAATATAAATGCCGTCCAAGATCTCATCGTTGCTCTAGCCTTGCACCTTCATATCGTACCGTTGGGTTGTTTTCGTCATTGGGGATTTTTGTAATCCCCTCGGTGTATCTTCCCTCTTCTTCCTCCTTTGTACACGTCCCGTTTCCATCATGACTTTCCTCATTAGGGCGTGTGTAGGCAGGTGATCGGACGGGTATGGAGGTAGGTCGCAAGTGTAGGATCGATTGAGGAATGCTTCGTCGCAAGTATAAAAGGAGTTTAAGAGATGTCGGATGTTTGAATACAACCCCCAGATAGACCTAGGCCCATTCGTGAATCGTACGTTGGTGGTGATGACTTTTTGTTCGACGTTGTTCCGGCTGTGAAATCTCTGCCGACTGATTTTTCGACCAAAATATCGAGTGCAACTCCTTCAAGTCGAAAATCCATCAATTAAAATTCATCCCACCCATTTTCGTGACTGAATCTCGGCTCTGGGAGAATATTTCACTCCCAGGTTCGTAGAGGACACCACTGACAGGTTTTCAGCCTTCGTCCTCCTGAGACTTTCGTGTGCCATGCAGACATGTTGAGTATACTCTTGTGGTGGAAAATGCTAATAAATCATGGTTTTGGAAAGTGAGGCCCCCCACATACTCAGCACTCATCATATACATATCATTCCGTGTTTACTGCATATCATCACATATATTCTCTTTACACCTTACCTTAGCCTCTATATATTCTCACCCCTGAGGCACTACTTCCTCAAATATCTTAACACATTAGCTTTTGATGTATCATCAAGTAATGTGAAATCTCGAGCAGTGTTGTAATTTGTAAAGGGAGGCATTGTGTAAATAGCGGTCTTGGTCCGCTTTCATCGTGAATCTTAACTTATAATTCGATGAGATTATAAGATAGGGCGTGGCTATAGTCCTGAGCTGCAGTCTTTTTCCTGGAAGTGATTAATTTGTGAGGCCTTGTCATTTAGAATGTCATCTTTTTGGGAGGTTAAAGGGTCTGAATCGAACTCAATGGGAAAGCAGTCACGACTGGTGAAATCTTAACTCGCAGGACGCACTAGGGTAGCTGCTACATGATCTGTGAGTTGCTCCATACCTTGGAGTCGATATTTCAAGAGATTCCTGGGCTAGCTCCAATCTTGCTCTCGGTTTTTGATCTACTTTCTATGTTGCATTGGTAGTGCCAAGTTGCCCTTCCGGATCATAGGGCGTCAATGAAGTTACAATGGTGGGAGCAATTGTATCGCATTAAGGTTATCAGCCTAGTGGTTGTCCAGATGATCAGAGTTGATAACAAGGATGGTATAGTGACGTAGATTGCAGTTCCAACTTCATTTGAATAATCTGTGGTTCATGGATAGCGAGTTTCTGGACCAGAGGTTCATTATGTATCATAATCTGGTGCAACTAATGATAGAAGATGAATAATTATCAACAACGTAGCCTGCTTATTAACCTGGACCCATCGAGACCTGGAGAATTATTGTGTGTACCATGTATTTGCTAAAGTACAGTGAGTATCCCAAGCTCACGTTGCCTAATTCTTTTGATCATCTGTAGACTTAGATGGGTAGGTTGTTAGAAAATTTCTGGATTATTACTGTTGTTCTGCACAAAATGGACTCACGTATCGGGTGCGTGACGATACCGTTTGAAGCTACCATGTACACAATGAGGCGTTTATATTCCCCTGCTAACTAAGCTCATCTGCGCCAGAAACCTTTCGCCGCCTTAGTGGAAGTATTAGCAGTAGTAATCTGGCATTTAACTTGTGAGGGATGGTACTGCCTGAGGAGAGCTGTGTAGAAGGCGAGAGGTGAAATACTACTAATTAGGTGTTTTTGGTCTGTAGATAGATAAGACCTGCATATCCTCTGTGGTCTCAGACTGAGAATGGGCTATAATATAATTAAAAATATATATGTTTGCCTGTTAGCGACGAAAGTCTCAATCGCCACGACCTACCTCAAGTCGCATATAAAAATACAAAGTACGTAGAGACTTCTCGTCCGGAGTTTGAGTATCAAAAGCTCTTCACGACATGTACTGTGAATATGAAATAATGAATACAGGAAGCCCTCCTTCATTGTGTAAATTTATTTGGATGTGGAAATTACAGGTGTGTTTACTAATATGGTTTTATATCATGGAATTGTTTGATTACCATTAACTTTTATTTGGCGGTAATTTTCTATCTATATCTAGACTAACCCCTTTTCCCTATAGAATTATCAGACTAGCTCTCCCTTCATTCTCGCATATATGCCCTGCTATGTCTCTTTTGATTACACGGCATAGATGCCTCAACCCACTTGTCTACTAATTCCAAATTTGTTATCATGTCCTTCTGCGCCGTCATAATTTTTCATTCCACCTCTATGAAACGTCAAGCCTATTCACATTATTGTATTTCCATTATCATAATATAATAATCGTAAGGGGGTTAAACGGGATTGTCGTTGGGAGATCCTTGTCTTAAAAGGCGCTGTAGTCCCATGTATGGAGTATTGACAGGTGATTCACCTAGTATTATTAGACATGTCTTAGAGAGCAATGGTTTTCTTACCGGTGTAGAGGAACATATCATATAACCATGCACCGAACAAACATCCTAAGAATGGAGCGACCATAGGTATCCAGAAATAGTGTCCAGCTGCAGTCCAGACTTCGTTGCCATATCCGAGACAGTAAGTCATAAGTCTTGGGCCAAAGTCGCGTGCCATATTTATGGCGAAGCCAGTTTCCCATCCGAAGCAAGCTCCAATACCAAACACTACGAAGAATAGGATGAGAGGAATAAACTTATCGGCATACCTATTCTTCTCGTCCTTTAGGGCGTAAATAGTAAACATGAGAAGGGTGGCGCAAATGAACTCGCTGAAAAATTCACCGGTTTGAGTCATGAACGGTTGCGGGTAAGTGGCGAATATACCGGCTGTGGCATTTTGGCTGTATCCAGGTACGGTTCTTATCCCGGCACCACCCTCAAAGACATCGATAGCTGATTTGTAGTTTGCTTTGTTGTGTTAGCTACTATTTACGTAGATTATTCGATTTCGCAAATATTTAATCTCAGGATTCAAAAGGTGTTGCGTCTAACTTACCGTAAACTACGCCTGCTGCGCAGAAGGCACCCAAGACTTGAGCCATTAAGTAGACAGGGAATTTATGCCATGGGTGTTTACGGAAGACACTAAACATGTCAGTTTCGTAGGAAAATGTGTGGCCTATCACCTTACCAGTTTGTGAAAGTGACGGCGGGGTTAATATTTGACCCACTGATCTGCAGAGAGTTTAGCGATGACCTTGGATGGGTTTTGTGGATCATACCCCTGCAACGTAAACTCCAAGCATGACTCCGAGACTAATTGAACGTTAGAATCTGCTATTTGCGTGGTGTCAATTATTCTCACCCCCAGCCCCAGCAAATGCTCTGCCAGTCCCCTCGAGTATTATTGCTCAATACCACTTGGGCAATGGCACTAAGTTTGTCGTCAGTTTTATTCTAATGTGTATTTCGCTTATGCTTACCCATCGCCAAATAGAACCAATACAAAGACACCAAAAAACTCAGAAAGTGGTTCACGGATGGCGTGTCGTACGCGACTCCACCAGAGTTGTGATCTATCAAAAGCTTCCTCGTGTTGCGGCGGGAAATATTTGTCGATAACACCTCGTCGACCCCGATGGTGAGAATTACGATCTCCGCCGTATGGCTCGGTGTAGTATTTGTCGTCGGCTGTGAATGGTTTCTCGATAAATCCCTTCTCATCATCAATATACTGCTTCTCAATTACTGATTCGACGAAGCCTGCTTTGTTCGGACTCTGTACGGGACTGGTGATATCTCCAGCTTTTCTGGCGTTCTCATGGTGTGTTGCAGCTGGGTACGAGTTGACGGATGAGGAGCGTCTCGGTTTTTCTCTGGCGACCTCTTCATAGAACACGCGTGGTGGGCGCTTAACGGCAACTTCTTCTTCGTCATGGTAGACAGTTGGTCCAAAAGACGGTCGGCGTTCTCGGGTTGCGGGAAGAGACATTTTTGAAGTTTAGGTATGAGCCTGGAATCAGGGGAGCTCGAAGAATGAAGAGGTATTTGATTGATACTGACAAAGAATGGAGCAGATACTACTGCTATTTATCAATTCCATCAATAACAATTCGATAGGGCGACAAATGTAGGAGGCTGTCATTAAAAAGCAATGGCATCTTTTGCATTCGTCGGTCTGTGCATATCCAGCCCCCACATCAGATCTGTCCGTGCAGCACCACAAACCTTCCATCATGTCTATCCGGGATGTTTATACCCTGGCATTGAATGGTTCTACGACGAAAGCGACAGTACCGTTCAGTTAAATTTCACGACCATGTTATCTATCATTTAAATTGTTCATGTGAGTGGGTTTTGATTTTAACCAACCAGAATTGTATCACGAGTTAGAAAAATAGTTTGGTCCATTCCTGAGCATCAAAAGCTCAATTCTTCCCGCCCCCACTTCTTCTACTCGTCGATGTCATGGGTCCCATGAAGTGGCTGGGTAGACCCGCGCTGATCTACATTGATCGACGTTGGCCGCTGGTACGAGCCGTTGAGCCGTGCAAACTAAAATGGAGGGATTATGATGAACCTTAACCACCACTTTTCTGGGTCTAAACTCCATGGACATGAATCCACATTGAATGTTTGCAGATAGATGCATTTGTCGCGGGACCTCAAGCGCGAGTACTGGGGAACAGCTTCACCGTCTCTATGCAATAGCGGCAAGATGCTGCTTGTTCGTTGGAAAAATGATGTGAACGTCTCTCGTACGCTAGTTGATTCTCTATCACCTAGACAACCGCCCTCGCCTGGTTGCGGCAGACCTGACCTTTCCATGAATCCGAATAGGGCGGAACAAAGGACCGTCCGTGCCCTGGAGTTGTCTGCCGAAGAGAGCCGCGAATAGTGCCTACCCGCCAGAGAATGCTAGAGGTAGCGTCAGCCATCTTTGATCTGTGACGAATCACAACAGAATGCCGCAGACCAAAAGATGTGTAGGCATGTGTGGCTACTTTATTGGTAAGGAACATGTCAAATCCCCCGCCACCCGAACGAGTAGTGTTCGAGACTGAAATTTCGGGCGAATGGATCTCCAGCTACCCTATCTGTTATTTGAAGGCTGCAGCGGTGGCTATTGCATCTCGGGTTGCGCAAGTCGTGAAATACTCAGGTCGTGATGACGTTAGCGGTTTGGAATGAGCAGGGGCCTCTCAGCTTGTCCTGACAACTGAATGCGCGTGTTGGCGAGAAGATCAACTGGCCTTGAGTGATGCACCGAGTCTGAAAATGGTTGTCGACGGCGACGGCAAATACTAGCCTCATGCGTAAGTTGCTGAGTCTCAATGGCCGGCAAATCGCACATATTACTCTGGTAACTATCAGCTTCCGGGTCACGAGGCTTTTCTCAACAACCCTCCTGGCAAAAATCTATTCGTCGCAGCCTTATCACGGCAAGAATTCCTTCCTTCTTGTGAACCACAGACTGACTCGCGAAGTACATGAGCCACGCACGGTGGTGAGAAACTCTAGCAGTAGGTACCCTGATGATCTCCTCCGAATAATGTCTCATCATAGCGCAAAAACTTAGATCGACTATGATGTGTGTCAATGTAAGCCAAGAACGCACTTCGTGTCTACCTCTCTTAACGGACACCCAGTATCCTGCGGCATATATTATCATGTACGGGCTCGACCTCCACCCACATACATGCTGCACTGATGCCTATAGTATGCGTTGGCCATCGGAGATAATCTGCGGGTATGCGGATGGTCTACCATGGTGATGGCTAGGCGTGAGGATGCCGGACTCTGAAGCTAGAAGGTGACGGCGTTCAAGGGGGATCAGATTCACATCGACTTCGTGTGCCATAGGCCAAGATTCGACGGGACTGGCCGTTACCCGCAATGCCCAACCTCGTGGACGCACCGAACGTAGTCGCTCTGATGGAAGCTACGCTTATTTGCCTAGGTAGCAGTGTTTGAGGACTGCGTCCACTCCCCTGGCAACTGAAAGGTAAACCTTGAATAACTTGGTTGATCGATATGACGAAAGGCGGCACGATTTACGATAATGCCGGTGTGCGCGAGGGCCGGCCCATATGCAGATTCAGCTTGCGCTGGCAGTGACTGAGTGCAAAAAATGTGGAGAGGTTGCATCTTGCATCTGCAGTATTTTCGCGGGCCCCTGGGTCCTCTTGATAACTCAAATAGTACGTCGAACTCATTGGGCCTCGCCCGTCGCCATCTCACCTTCAAACAGGGCCTGAAAATCGGCCCCATCCCCCAGCTGGATGGAGGGGTCGATGGCCATGATACGCCGGATGAAGGAGTCTCTACGAACAAAACCTGGCCACTTGAGGAGGTGTTATTCGACTAATCATGTGGTTTTATCTACAAATGGATATGAGAAGGAAAGGTGATGGATAGCTTTGTATCTAGAGGCTCCCAAAAATAACGTGGGCAACACCCGTGAACCCAAATGGAATAAACTTTCAGGGAGGGCAAGACTGAACACCTGTACGCGGTGTCCTCTACGAACCTGGGAGTGAAATACTCTCCCAGAACCAAGCTCAGTCAAATTTCGCAATACCGAACAAGTTGGCCCACGAGGCAACGAGGCAACGATTCAAAATACTCAATCACGTCAATTTTTCACTCCCAACGAGTCCGATTCATACCTAAGTCTCAACAAATCTACAAGTACGATCTAGCACATCCTCATTCCAACGATCACATCTCTTGTCGACTTTCTCTGACCTCAGCTCGTCACCATATACACGCCCACGCCGATATTTATACCCGACGGAGGAAGCAAAGCGTTGCGCACAAATTTGGGAGCCAGTTCTTTGGGATGGACATGAGAGGGATTAGGACAGGTTTACAAGATGATGCTTAGGATGGATATATTCTCGATGGGCGTTGAATTTTCGAATCTTGGAAAGGAGCTTTTACAAATTGAGCTTTGTGCGTGCCAAGACTTCGGTTGTGAGAGTGCAAACAACGCTATAAACACCGCCATGGTTGGATAGTGCGGTGGTACCTCGCCTGGGCCGGTCTGCCAAGTAGATTCTGGCTAGCTTGGACACATAGCTCACTCGAGACAGTAGATTTCTGCTTCAAATCCGACAAAACACATCCACTTTTCTCGTGGCGCTGGTATGCATGGATGACGAAGGCATGCTTGGATAATCAAAGGTTTTGAAATTCCCTTCGGTGGATACTTACGGAGGAGGGTCGACTGTTTGTGTAAGCAAGCATACCTCATAGTAGTATTTGCAAATGAAATCCAGAATATGAGTGTCTCTTACGTCAAAAGAGTCATCCTACATGTATACATAGTACCGGTCATATGTCATAGCTCGATAGCTGAATACACATTAAATGAAAAAAGTAAGCCTATCCAGAAACCCCAAAAGTTTAAACACTCACATTTCACACCAAAACTTGATATTAATATTCTACCTGCTGATGCGTGGGAGCTCCTTGATTACCAGACGAGCTAAACAATTTGACATAAATTTCTAGGTGATTCAGACTATGTGTATACTCTGGATACACTTAAAAATTTAATACAATAACTGCTCTTCTCGTTCTCTAGCTACTCTATAACCCTCAATTTATTAAACCTTTGTGCTCCACTGAGGGCACATAGTCGAGTGTGATCTCAATGAAATTGCGTTCGTCGCCATGACTTTGACATGCCCGAGCAAAAGATCGTAGCGGGCGAACGATCAATTGAACACGACTTATTGGATAAACTTACAATTCAGTATAACAATTCTTACCTGCTAACTCTCATCATACCCATCAGCACCTTTCGAAAATCACCTTATAATATCCCCATCCTTGTCAATACTCTCCAGACCCTCAATAACATCACTTCCACCTAATAAACCCTTCACTACGGCAGTAGTTTTTTGACATCCACTCCACACTTCGTGAAATTTGATGCTCTCGTCAGAAGAGGCGATCACTATACAGCCTTCTTGAGCAGTGCGTGAAGACCTTGCATCATCTTCGTTACTGGTGTAGCTTTCATTGGGTCCACCCCGATACGGTATTGCGTACAAAGCACGTTGCCCTCCATCCCATGGAATAGCCGCAATCTGTTTACAACCAGGCCATGAAAATACGGCAATGCGGTATGGATGTTCTGGTTGAGCAAATCCAAACGTGGCACAGATCTCTTTGCGCGTAACCGACCAAATTAAAGATGTTACTTGAGCAAATACACTAATTGTTGCCAGGCATGTCCCGGAACTTGCGTGGTAAAAATGAATGCACTTGTCATTACTACCACCACCCGTAGCGATTAGTCCCTTCTTCCAAGGACAAAATGCAATTGCTTTAACAGCTGCTCCGTGAACCCATCGATGCCTCTCTGATCCAGCCAGGCATTCGTTAGTCCTTATACGTCCCAGGTCTAACCTAGCTCCATTCAAGTTGGTATTTCTGATAGGCGTGCTGACTACTATACAGAGCTCTTCTCGTATGCGGTTATGAATGCTGTCTGTTTGAAACAAGCAACACAAATTGTCGTTACCTCCAGTGGCAAACATGGAGCCATCATTAGAAAAAGATATACCACAAATTTGCTGCGAATGAATCGATATTCGTGCCATTAAAGTTATAGAGCCAGACCAGCCATTGCGGTTGACATCTAATTCTTCAGGCCATTCAACTGAATAGTAATAGACGTTACCCATTTCATCTCCAACGAGGATTTCTTCAATTACAGCGTTAGTTTCGAGATTTGACGGGCTCTTTGATGGTCGTATGACGACCTGAGGCCGCCAGGTTAAACAGGCTATCGCACAAGGGAGCTGAAGGTCAAACCTAGGATTCACACTATCATATAACGACATGAAACTGAGCAATCCATTTGACCTTCCATACCCCAGGATACTCTTCTTTCCTGCATCAGAAGAGAATGCAAGCGATGTAAGCCAGGAGCCATTTGTTGTGCCTGCATCAAGGAGATGAACTCCCTGTGATTCGGACCAAGCATACAATAAAGGTCCAAGGCCAACCGCCAAAGTATGACTTGCGGCCGAATAAGCAATTACGGAGCAATAAAAGTCGTCTCTGAGGTTTGGGGCGTCCAATACTCTGATAATTATCAGCGCTTAGGTACCTACGTTAAGAAAATCTTACTTGAAAGGTGCTGTTGGAAGAATCCTAATTTCATCTTTCTGAAAATTTTCTACCTATGATTAGACTGCAAATTTTATTGTAATGGGGCTTGTGAAATACGCTTACTCTCCTTAACGCACCATGAAGCACATTGGTTTTCGAATGAGTCAATTAGCGCCTTCTGGGATTTATAATTTTCTAATTTAGGTTGACAGAAGTCAAAAACCCTCGAATTCCGATCAATACTCAACGCTGTAGCTAGCAGACCTTCAAAAATTTCTGTGTTGTCTTCGACTAGAAGCTTGGCAGAAAATGAGCTAGTATAGGCTGGAGCATTGCTATTGTTACTTGTAAATCTTTCTCTCCTGCCTACCAAACTGATAGTGGGTGCAAGGCCACTGAATCGCCATACAGTTTCAATTCTTACCTACGGTTGTCAGTCTCTGTAGAATACTTGTACTTTTTGTGGTAAAATATTTATTTCAATAGAGATAAATTAACTTGTGATCTGGCGAATGGCATATTGTTGCCCTTCAAGCTTAGATTTGACGAGAAAGTAACGCACCTGACCCACTCCGCCAGATCTAGAGGTAATCGCAGCGTCTGATAAACCACCAGCTTTCGATAGTAAATATCAAGAAACTTGCGAATGGTGATTTCGCAAAGGCTTACCTGTATTTCTTATTCGACTGGTCATATTATACCGTCGAGAAATTGGGTTGAATAAGATAGTACTGCTAGATAAAACATTTCTTCTACCATCTACACCATTCAATCTCGGTGCATCTTTTCTGGTTCTTCTTTCAGTAGGAGATAGTTCCCATGGACCTTTGTTGGTCTTAAAATTTTCAACAGTTATCTCACCATGTTGTCTTGTGGGCAAGAATCGATCAGGAGAGTTGCGAGGATGTAATTTCAGTGGGCCAGGATGTAAGACACGAATCTTCCTTGTCTGATAAGGCAAAGCTGATGATAAGTATCCAGCACAAGTATCAGAGTTTATAGATGGAAATTTCCCACGTACTTCATCATCCTGACCATCATAACCATAGTTTTTCAGAAGTTTTGACTGCTGTCGCTTGCTAGATAGAGAACGATGATCTGTGACTGTTTAAAGTCAGATAAGGTTTCTATTTTAAAAGAATATCTGAGACCACCTTGGACCCGTGTAATTTTTGTGTTGCGAGTGTGTATAGCTCTAGTCTTCCTTATTCTCGATATAAAAAGGGTTTGGAAATCATCTCTGTAACAAAAGCATGCCTCGCGGGACATCATGGGACGTGCGAAATATTAAAAAATTTGGACCTTATTGTGATATGCTGCTTTGAAGCACAGGCATCCACTTATCCTGTACCGGAAATACAATAAGAAGCATTAAGAATAATAGTAATTCATTTAATATTTGGCAGAAAATAATTCTGTTTGGGTGAGAGATTTCACGGCTTTGGACTTAATGACTGCAATGACAGTGAGCGTCAAACTAATGATATGGCCTATATTAATGATTAAGGCGAAGAAATATGCTGCGAGTGACAAAATCTTCTACGAACACACAGCTTATATTAGATGCGAGACGTACATTATGTCGGGAAGTGATAATGGACATCTTCCTGGGGTCGAAGGTGCTATTTTGGGAAACCTTGCTAGAGTAAGGTCTCCCAAAGCAGGATCGTTTGGCAAAGCCCGCCCTGCTATTTGTCGTCCAACTTAAATATCAAATATACATTAACTTAAACAATTGCTTATTCTATGGCAAGCGTAAAGAATAATTCCGCGTATTTGTAGGCCTCACTGATTAATAGACAGCACGGTGTTGCGAGGTCAGCTAATACTGCATCACGAACTGAGCAGGAAATAGACAATGAGCAGAGAGAAATTAAGGAGTATAGAGACCTGGAGAATATGATTAGGACCAAGGTATTTCTAGCCAATTCCGAAGCCGATTATTTGCAAATTTAAGGATAGGTAGCAGGACATGAACAAACGGTCGAATTGTTCGAACTTACTTCGAGAATTCTGAAGAAGAACCCAGAATACTACACGATCTGGAATCATAGAAGGCGTTTATTAACCAACAGTTTATTCCCAAAAGCTCTATCTGCTGCAGAATCTGTGGCTTTTTCCTCATTTAATACTGCAAGTATAGCAATACCTATCACGTCTATTAGAACGGAATCTCAGACACACGATTCACGCGACAAAATAAAAAACGATGAAATACTTCAATTGATAAGCGATGACTTAGATTTTATAATTCCAATTATGATAAAGTATCCAAAGTGCTACTGGATCTGGAATTATAGATTGTGGTTATTACAGCAGGCGAATGAGAAACTAGACCGAATCATTTCTAGGAATTTATGGACTCGAGAGTTAGCCCTCGTTGAAAAGATGTTGGTTAAAGATAATCGAAATTTTCATGGCTGGGGCTACCGTAGGATGATCGTAGCACAGTTAGAGGATCCTAGACTTGACGGCCAAAGCATGGTAGAATCTGAATTTGAATACACCACTAAAATGATAAATGCTCCTAATGGCTTATCAAATTTCTCAGCATGGCATCGACGCAGCAAATTGATACCTCGCCTTCTTAACGAACGGGTTGCAGATACTGCCGCTAGATATCGGCTATTGGATGATGGTAATTTTTCCAAACGCGCGTTGTAGACTATCTAATTTTAACACAGAGCTCGAACTAATAATCTCTGCCATGTATACCGACTCTTACCCTTACCAACAGTCTGCCTGGTTTTACTATCAGTTTCTCATGACGATCATCATTGAGCCTAGTAAGAGCACCGCCACAATTAATTTCACCAAAGGTGATAGACAAAGATACGTCATTCAACAAATAGAAATCCTCAAAGACATGCTTGACGGGGCCGAGGATTGCAAGTGGATATACGATACTTTGATCGAATTTACCTTGGTAATAAGTCGAATGCAGAACAGAGGTCTCCATGTGGCAGAAAAGCAAGATTGTATTTCATGGCTCAAAAAGTTAAAAGTTTTGGATCATTTTCGTATAGGCAGATGGAATGATCGCGAGAAGCTTCTAGTCGATGGTTAATTAAAACTGAATTCAAGAGTTTTACACTACCACTCCAAGCGCGCAAAATATCCTTGGTAAGGCCTAGAAGCTGGGTCCACTTGTGATAAGTGTTTTTCGGATGAATTTTGTAGGCTCAAGGCGATGCGCAGAGAGGCCATCCACTCATGTCCCTGTGATTTATTCATTTAGTAAGTTGTTGGCACTTCTCACATCTACACTAAGAAGTTACCAAAAACGGGGGTTTTCAACAATCTACCGGATTTAGTCTTGGAAAAACTGATGATGGAAGACAAACTTGCTTTATTTATGAGGATTCCTATGGCACTAGTATCGATATCTGCAAATTTTATATATTAATTTTCTCTGTTCACATTTTGTGACTAAATAATAGATCGAAGTATTTAATAGTCAGAGACTCAAATAGGATGTAAATTTCGAAAAATATATGGAAAGACTCTTGTCACAGATAAACAGAGGAAAATATAAAAAGTTTTAGAATATGATTCCTTTATACTGGTGATACAGTAGTACTAGAAGTAGAACTGATTAAGTATAGGGTTATCAGAACGTGAACATCTCACGGCGCGCGCAGCATAAATTCATGTTGCGACAATGCCCCTACTATTATGTGTCTACTAGCTAATTTTTTAATTTTTTTTGCATCATATTTTAGTTGCGTATGCTGCTACCTAGCTATGACACAATGTTAGAGCAAAAGTACCGAAAAGATGACTCAATTTACAAGGGCACTCATGCCTCGGATTTCATTTACAAGTACCTCTGCGAAGGAATGCCATTCTAGCAGCTTTGACTGCTAGAATGGCAAGAAGAAAGTGGACCAAAACCTGCAACGAGGAAAACTGGATTAAATATCAAAAGGCGACAAACCAGAAAATAGGAACAATTGAAAGAGCTAAAACCGTGGGATGGAGAGCAATTGTATCCGAAACAACAGAATACCCTGCCAAAATCTAGAAGCTTGCAAAATGGGCGAAGAGAAGTTCTGAAGGTAAAGACATGCCAGCTCTAATACCCGATATTAAAGGTAGTGGTGGAAATACCGCAACAGAAGACAAGGAAAAAGTCATAATCATGGCAGGTCACTTCTTTCCAAAACCTGCCCAAGCTGACACCAATGACATCGCGGGTACAAGATTTCCTGAAGGAATTGACACAATCTCAAGTACTATCACCGAAGAAGTCAATAAGGTTATCAGAACATTGACAAACAATAAAGCTCCCGGCCCAGATGGAATACCTAAAAGAGTTCTAAAGCAATGTAAGAATACCTTAAGTAAGGGGACTATTCTCAACACCTGTCAGTGGTGTCCCCTACGAACCTCCAGCTCTCACTGTAGAGTCTGCAGAGCCGAGGTTGAGTAACAAAGTCCTCACTTCGACGAGGATTCCCAATCGCTTTCGCGGTCTGTATCGTCTTCATCTCTCAACACATTCCCCTATCGCCATTATCATGAAGCTAACCACGATCAGATCAGATGGTAGGATCGGAGTCTTACTCATCACCAACCCTTGATCATGGAGGAGATGCCATCCGATGAGTTTCCGAAGCGTACCCAGCACCCGATACGGAGATGGCGGATTGGATCAAGTCGACCTCGACTGTTACAAAAAAGGGAGATATAGATGAATATGCGTACCTCATGTAGTCCCGGTGTCTAGGCCTCGTCTGGCTGAGGCTGCAGGTTTTTTGAGACTTTTTCCCGCGCGCGCAGTTTCCATTGATTCAGTTTTAATATCTTTTTGGGCAGATGGTTCCGTAGAAAAGGTGGCAGGACTTCACCTAAAAACATTGAGCTTAATGGCTATTTATCACTAATCTCTCAAGTTACCTACGAGGATGGGAGCACAATACGAGGTGTGTTCTTGATCAGAAAGTAGGCTGATGTGCTAGATAGCCGTAGAATCAAGCATCACAAAAAAACCACACATGGAAGCAGGCCCAGCCACCTCCAACGTCTCCTGAAAGCCCTTCCAACAGTGGCCTACATATCAAGACATACGAACCATTCGAAATGCGCATATCCCTCTACGTCTCCCTTGGTAGCATTTGAGGCCAACTCCTCCATGACTAAGGTTTGTTTTTGAGTAGAGCTGTGACATTACCGTCTGGTTGTGACGGCTTGTAAGCCGGTAATTGCCTGTAGCCTGCGCTGTCTAACGCAGGCTTAGCATGAAACAAGGAGGGCCTTATAAGTGGCAATAATAATACTGTAACACGTCCGGGGATGGGGCACGAGAATGTGATACGAGTAGGGGATATGAGTAGGGAATACGAGTAAGGAATACGGATATACGGATAGAAATCTGTGTCATTGGCTGGGATAATAATCATGTATAAAGTAACTGTTATTATCCTCTTCAATCTGTAGTTCACCATAGATTGAAATTAAAACTACCTCTGACCATAAGGTTGCCCAAGTGCCTATGTTTAGACTGTGACACTGGTCTGATGATAGTTAACTTCATGGTGATGATGCTAGGGGATTATACTGAGTTTGAAGACAATACTGAGTGCAAGAGTGATTGGTAATTCTTATCGAAGTGAGGAAAAAGGTGCTACTCGATCCCTGCACTGTGGACTATAGTAACAGCTCGACACTTTCTGGGACACTGTTGACGGATGTTTAGCCTTCGCGATCCAAAATCCTTTGCACAAGGATGTGTTCGATGAAAGCATGTTTTCCTAAGTCGACGTGTGCATAATTTATGATAAATGGACAATTCATCATCCACGAAAACTCATCCTAATTTCCGACCGGTTATTCTTGGCTACAAGGAGGTGGATGCTGGGTTGAGCGAAAGAACTCCGCAATGTTAATTGCGTCCAAGGTTAGGATGGTAGCGGCCTTATATCTTCACGAGGGTCGGAGAACTGTAATTTTATAGCTTGGCAATACTCTTTATTCTAATCAAACCGTGAGATGCGTTTTCCAAGGAGCTGACTTGAAGTATAAATTTACAAATGTTTCCCCACAGCGTAATGCCTCTGAGAAAGCACTACTAAAGTCCAAACTTCTCATCTCACTAGGTCTCAGTCCTCTTGGATTCACCTTCTTATACAGTCAGAGAGCTTGCTTTCCATACAAATTGAATTTAAATTTCATCATAACACCTATTACCCAACGGTAATACCTGGACACGGCTCAATCTCTCACTGATTTTTACCTAAACTTGCACGCCATCCAGTCGTATAAACTCCTACGAGCATACATCAGAGTCAACTGAATTCAAATTCAACATGAAAATTTCTCTAATTGCTTCTATTGTCACAGGACTTAGCTTCCTTAAGCCTATGGTTGCTCACATGGTTTTTTGCGGTATTCAAGAGGTGAGTATGAATAATGTCAGAAACGTGGCGAGGGTACAATGGGATATAGAGCTTGAAAGTGTACATACGCATTATAATGGTAAATTTCCTAGAAATATCCGACTGGACCCTAAATATGGAGAGGGACCTTTCAGGGGATATCCAGTTAATACCCATTTTGCAATATATGAAGGTATTCTATTCTCATTCCGTTCTATCCGCTGTAAAAACTAACTTATCTCTAGGGCCAGCATCTTTTATTTTCCTTGTTGTGTCAAATAAGGACTTATCGGTGCTCAAATTGTATTACACCTTTGCGGGTGGCTATGAGGAATGTCCTTTGGAATGAAACGACAAACGGATGTAAGGGTGCATGGCAAATTCATACAGTTTATTGTTGTTGGAAAAGTTACACGTTGTAACTAGTGAATAGCAAAATATTGTTTCTATTCCTGTCCTCTCCCCCTCCTCTAGTAGGAAGTCTACCATGTAATGATACTACTGTGGCGCACAGATCCACATATTACATAAACGTAATACAACTAAAGCATATGTACCGACAATTATTCATTGTGCTAACGTGTCCATGTTTTTTTTAGTCAATAAGTCCTAAGCTAAAGATCTATATCTACTTCGAGTGGAGACGGCAAGGTTCCCTGTAATTTTTCCTACAGCCTAAGCTCTTTTTTTAGATCATATAATGTGTATTCAGCTATATATAACTATGACAAATGACCGGTGCTATGTATACATGTGGGATGACTCTTTTGACGTTAGAGGCACTCATATTCTGGATTTCATTTGCAAATACTACTATGAGGTATGCTTGCTTACACAAACAGTCGACCCTCCTCCGTAAGTATCCACCGAAGGGAATTTCAAAACCTTTGATTATCCAAGCATGCCTTCGTCATCCATGCATACCAGCGCCACGAGAAAAGTGGATGTGTTTTGTCGGATTTGAAGCAGAAATCTACTGTCTCGAGTGAGCTATGTGTCCAAGCTAGCTAGAATCTACTTGGCAGACCGGCCCAGGCGAGGTACCACCGCACCATCCAACCATGACGGTGTTTATAGCGTTGTTTGCACTCTCGCAACCGAAGCCTTGGCACGTAAAAAGCTCAATTTGTAAAAGCTCCCTTCCAAAATATAAAATTTCATGCCCTTCGAGAATGTATCCATCCTCTGCACCATTTTGTGAACTTGTCCTATCCCTCTCACGTCCGTCCCGAAGAACTGTCTCCCCGATTTGTGCGTCATGCTTTGCTTCCTCCGTCGGGTGTAAATGTCGGCGTGGGCGTGTAATTGGTGACGAGCTGAGGCTAGAGAAAGTCGACGAGAAGTGTGATCATTGGAATGATGGTGTACTAGGTCGTACTTATAGACTTGATGAGGCTTAGGTATGAGTCGGACTCTTTTGTCACGAAAATGGGAGGGCTAGATTGACAATGTCGAATGTGGTTGATAAGTTTGTCTACAAGGAGGGTAAGGGAATCCAGACGTAGTTCCTGATAATAATATACATCGTGTAAACCGTGATCGCTTAAATATATCATATGATTACAGCCTTGTACCTTGACAATTTTTTTAATTTAATTTTATTTTCCTGTCTGAATCTATGACTATGGAGGACATGCAGTTCCTCTCTGCCTACAGGCCAAGGATACCTATACCAGTAGTATATCCCCTCCTATGCCTCCCATACAACTCCCATCAAACAGTACCACCCCTCACAAGTCCTCCTTCGATCATACACTTAGAGCAGCCCTTAGCCCTTCATTATCTCCCCTTTCCAGCCAACGAAACGATGGCCGTTTGCGGGTGAATGGCAGCCCGGAAAAATCGCAAATACCACTGGGTGTGAGGCTCTTCTAATACTGACAAATGGACTGAATCCGATGACACAGTGACCCTTCTGAAGCGTTCGAAGAGGCCGGCCAGCTGGGCGCTGCAGACTTGTGGGTACCTTGGAGAATTCACACTCTGCCTTTCTAACCTCTTTCCAACTCCTTCCCGAAGGTCGTGCTCAAATGTCAGAAAAGTCTTGACAGAGCGTGATTGCTGTATGGTAGCTTTACCTAACTTCTTTTGTGCCATCCAGGGAGCTAGTAAGTGCCGTTGACTCATCGACAAAAGAAGCCCTCCTGGCTAATTAGCCGAAATCTTGGTCTTGGCGCCCACAAAAAATCCAAAGTTGAAAACCCCTCGAAAATATCAGTCCCAGCATGCTCTTCAGAGACCTATTCCCCCTCTTGCTCCACATCTCAGCCGCCTATTCTTCCTCAAGATGTACAACCCTATCAGACCAGGGTCAGAGCCTGATGGAATCAGTATTCTTGACTTGATGTTTTCGTGATTCATGTAAATTCCATTCTTCTAACATGATCGTAACATTATTGTCAGAATAACATGCCAAGCTGTTACCTGACATAATTTGTGATTGCCTCAGGAAAACCTTGGCGTTTTGGGTAATTTTCAGCTAGAAATTGCTTGGCGTCCGTGTAACAGACGTGGTGGACTGGTATTGAGTCGGTTTAGGATTACATCTTGGCTACAACATGTTTGGATTGTATCCTGTGATGTAAGGAAGCTATTTCTAGATATTATCATCATATGTCAGGTAGTAGATATGTGTAGATATATAAGCTGAGAGAAAGAGGAAGGAAGACAGACAGACAGACAATTACATCTTTTTATTTACTTCAATTGAAAGCTCCTGTGCGAGCTATTCTTCCAGATACCTCTAGTCTCAAACATTAAAGCTTCAGAACCAGCTCAAAAGGTTCGACAATCCCCTTTAGAGCACCAGTCCTCCATAGACCAAGACCCCAACTTTGTATATTATTACTTAATTTCCTCCTTGCGGGTATACGTAGCGTCGTAAATTCGAAGTGAGTGATGGCCGGTAATGATTAAGGTAAGCTCCTGTTTGCAATTGGGGTAACGCCATTATCGGTAATTGAGGCGAGGTGGTGTGTTAAGATTGAGGTGGAGGACTCGCGTGAGAATGATAGATGCGACATTGATGAGAAGTCCTCGATTTTAGATGTGCTTGTGAGTGCTTTCGACTTCGATTTGGATTTGGATGCGATTCTTCTTGGCTATCCCAGATATGTAGAGTATACTGAGCAATTACACCGGCACCACTGGAAAGTGACGAATTCGTCTTTGCCGGCTGTACCTTGACATCTCTGGGAGTGAAAATTTGACACGATGGAGTATTTTGAATCATTGCCTCATGGATCAACTTGATCGGTATTGTGAAATTTGACTGAACTTCGCTCTGGGAGAATATTTCACTCCCAGGTTCGTAAAGTACATGGCGTACAGGTGATCAGTCTTGCCCTCCTAGAGCCTAAGCTCGTTCCAACCTCGTGAATCGCCGCCAAAGGTGCAGCTGATTAAACTGAAACAAAAATCACCAAAAATCACCAAAAATCAAAACAACTCCGAAAGACAGAAGATTTCTCCATGTTAGACCCAGTGTTACGGGCTGTGCCCAGTTCGGTTAGGCTGGGCTATCTTTCAGGCCCAGCCTTGTTCAAGGACACTAACCAAGTGATCTATAAGAGAGTTTCTCGGGACTCGAATCACTCGGTTAATTATGCTGAGGCTGGATAACAGATCACTCAGTATCAAAAGAATACGTGTCGGGATACTGGATCACTGGTGGCTGTAGCTGGCATATTTAGTTCAAAGGATTTCCTGTAGTAAATCTCTATAGAAAAATATTAACTCTTTGTGGTACTGTTTACGTGCGGTGTCCGTAATTCTCCTCGCCCTTAACACCCAGAGAATGCGCTCCTCTCACATTCCATAGTCCGTCACACCTTCTACATTTATTCCATCTCCGCTGAGAGCAAAAGATGGGTAAGCAAGCACCTTTGACCCAGCCGGTATCCTGCTATTGGTTAATGGATACCTGTTAGGGGCATCGTCGAGGTTGCTGTTCCCTCAAGCTTCTTCCTCAGATTCCAATACCCCGAAACCTGCTCCCTCGGCCATCGACATATCTGTCACGAAAATGGGAGGGCTAGATTGAGAATGTCGAATCTGGTTGATAAGATTGTCTACAAAGAGACAAAGAATCCTAATAAATACAAAACTAAAACATATGTAAAGCAGTACCCTTGTCCAAATAGATGATCTCACGTGATATTATCTAAGCTTCTTTCCTTGTCATAAGGTACCGCCTTACTCCCTATTCTTTCGCATTACTTGACAATATCTTTGTAGAATATCTTGCTTTCTTCATTGCTGTTTCAATCTCGCGCTTTGTTGGTTTCAATTTGTTAGGGAACCGTCTCTCGAACTCCTAGATGGAGGATGTAGCGTTGACAACCTTCTCAAGAGCCTCCCATGTTTGGTCATCAGGGTCATTTCCACGCCATAAGATTAAAAAATAAAATATTTTCTTATTTTTGCTTCGCTTGGAGTCAACAATCGCCTCGATAGCAAACAATTTTTCGCCAGACTCGTCGAGCAGGATAGGTGGTGGCGGGGGATTAGTTTGTCCCGGGAGGGGATTTGTTGGCGCTGGTCGAAGTAAGCTTGTATGGAATATATTATGTAAATTCTCATGTTTGAAGGGAAGTTCTAATTGGTATGCGTGGGAATTGATTATTTTTGTCACTCGGAATAGTCTGATAAAAAATCTAATTTTTTTATTGGTCGCGAGGTCGTAATATTTCGAGTATCTAGAAATACTTCATCACCCACTCTGTAGGCTTGTGCTGGCGAGCGATTTGCACTTGAAGCTTTTTCCTGTCTTTCTCTGGCCCGCGCGAGGTTTGAGCGTAGTACGTCCAATACTTCGGCCATTTTGGATGCAAAATCGTTACCTCCGGCAATTTGTTTCCTAAGATGTTTCGAAGGTGTTCTTGAGATTGGCCGTGGAGGTCCATAACTCATGCGTGGATGGAAACCTTTGTTAGCAAAGAATGGAGAGATTTGGGTTAAAGCGTTGACTGTATTATTAGCTGCAAATTCGGTCATTGGTAACCACTCATAGACATCTTCTTGGGAGTAATCAATATATTGCCTAAGATACTGTTCCATGAATGCATTAGTATTCTCTGTTTGGCCGTCAGTTTCGGGATGGTAGGATGTGGAGAGTGAAACATTTATTTGTAGGCGGTGGCAAACTGCTTTCCAGAATTCTGCAACAAAGAGTGGTCCGCGGTCAGAAACAATTGAGTCGCATAGTCCGTGTAGTCGCTAGACATCGCGGACTGCAACGGCTACAAAGCCGATATTTCCTGTAGCCAATACTGGCAAGTACTGGCGTACAACCACCGGAGAACGGGCAGGCGCAAAAGCCACGTAAAAGATACTAGAATCTCCTAAGAA